ATAATATAAAACGGGATTTTTTTCAGAAATATCCCGAATAAGCACTTGCAGAAATCAATGCAGGAAAGTAGCAGAAATGTATAACATATTTTTTCCTGAACCCGATCCTTTACAGTTTGAGACCCTTTCTGGTCCAATGGTCTGTAAAGGTCTGTGTTCCTTCTATCCCGTCCCCCTAGTGGGTCGATGTCCATCTGAAAAATAAATATAAAATAAGTAAATTGTGTGCATAATTGATCTTTTTGTCTCTCCCTTCTTTCTCTTCCCTAAAAGTCCCTTTCCCTGTCGTTTAGCAAGACTCCAGAGTCCTAGCAAGGTTCCAAAATTCTCGGTTTTCATACTAATTAATTTTGACGACATTTCTTAATTCATTTCCTTATAGTAAGTGACTAGTTTTACGTAAAATCATAATCTTCAAATTAAATTCAGCCAATTTGTAGCAGTAACTGATAAACACCGATAAAATTAGATAAACTATTGTAATACAACAGGTACATAATCATTATGTGCATTCATTTCAACACAATCGCTAAACACAAACATTCATAAACATGTTAAATGAACTTTCATGGAATATAAACATAGATATAGAACTTTGACGTTTCGCTGGGAGAGTTTGTCGAACTTTGTTATTACTAAACCTGAATTAGTTATAAATAGTCGATTACTGTGCTTTCTTCTAGATGATAAGAAAAGTGGAAGTTTTCACGAATGAAGAAGTCTTGCAAAGACTTTCAAAAGAAACAGAACTAAATAATGAAATAAAGATACCAAAACTACAATACCTTGACCACTTGATGACAGGAACAAAACACCAGCTTTTGCAGAATATCATGCAGGGCCAGATTTTAGGAAACCGCAACTTGAAAGGAAACGAATGTCATAGATGCGCAATATTTATTTTTATAAAATAAAGCGACCGGTTTCTAATGAAATGAAAAAATATTCGTAAATAATATTTCTTCGACCTGATTTTTATACGATAAAATCCTAACATGGAATCAAGAAGATCTACACCTCCCATGTAGTTGTTGTAGATTAGGACACTGTGACATTTCTGGTTTGAAAAATCTTCTTTTTTCTCCCTTTGGTTCACTTCCAGCATATGTTGGCATTATGGTAGCGATTTTATTATCAAAACAGAACGCTACCTGACATTGTCTATCCACATACATTGTAAATCCACATTGTCTATTTTCTCTACCATATGACCTCTGCTGCGCTTCTTCATTTCTTTCTCAGTTGGTATCACAACTCCAGAAACACGATTAATTCTTACTGTTCCCAAAGGTAAAATGCCCTCTTTGGTCAGATATATCATACGAGGTATGCTGGTGAACCAATTGTCAAAAAAAAAAACTTGTAATGTTGATGTTTTGGTATGGAATCTGCTAATTTGACAACCACGTTGCTGCTCATACTAAGATTTAGTGCTCTTAGAGGTACAATATTACTCTGGGAACCAGCAAACACTTTAAAGTCATAGCTGAATCCCAAAATACCACTTTACACAAAGTTTATGAAGCCCTAGCCCTTTTTAGTCGATACAGGCACTTATTTGTCCAAAGAGCTCATTTGTCACCATCCGTAGGGGATATATCCAACAAAATACTTCGCCATTTCGTATTGCTGTCAAAGTACAACAAAACTTACAATTTAATGAAACATTTTTCTTCGTGTAACTCGGAAAGTATTTTTGAAGTAGTATTTTGATGTATTTTATACATTTAAAAACAAATACAATCGATAAAATAAATATTAGGTGGTGAGACACAGGTTATAGTTTAATTATATAAAAAAAAATTAAAAAGAGAGTTGTAAAGAAAATTAATAAATTAATATGGCATCTTGATAGGTTTGAATCGCTGTGTATTTTATCAATAAAGAGCTGTTACCAGTGGAGCTGGCATCGACATCGAAAAAAAATTTAGTGAAAGGATTCAAACCGATTTAAGATTTCGATTACTGCACGCGAGAGTGAGTGAGCTGATTCGGTCGCGCAATCGTCGCGACCTTGGCCGAAGTTGCGTTGCTCATTTGTCTGGGTAATTCAGTCAAGGTTCGAGTCGTTGAACTCTAGGATCCCTACTTCCACGAGGCGGAGCTTCCACCGCTCTCGACCAATCGGCGAGCGGCAGCGCGTCGCCGATTGGCCGGCAGGAGCATTGTTGTCAGTGACCTCGAAGTTGAAAATGCGATGAACCCAAGTTCGCGGTTATGCTGCTAAAATCTCTCGCCCCGCGCGCCCCGCTCGTCTAAACTTAGATTGGTTTGTTGCCCTTCAGGTAATATTTACTATACAACCGGGCAACAGAGGCCCAGTATCAACTGGGACTTTCACTATCGTCAGTTCTTCGCTTGCTCTTGGACATTGTTGTTCAGTGTCAACGCACATGTGCTATTCTTGACATTATATTAACAGTGAAATGGTTTTTTGTGTTTAGTGTCTCTTTTGTTTAACGGATAATCAGTGTTTTGATATAAGAAAATTTGGCAAAATGATTATTTCGCCGGATAGCAGTGTTCACAACATCCCCCAGCTACCTGAATCAACCACTGCCACCAGTATACCTAACTTCGTACATTCAGGACACCGGGAACCTGCTCTAAATCTAGGTATTGTTTATTAAATAATAAAAATATTACCTATGACACTTCTATTAATATAATAAACATGTTGGAGTTTCAAAACATTTTAATGTTATATAATAATTTTACTTATTAGAAAATTGAAAGTTTCAATATTAATTCTTTTTATTTTATTTGATGTCATTTGAAAACAATTCTTCTAATATTTTTAGACTTAAACGCGAATTCAGAATTGATTTTGTTAATTCTAAAAAATCTATTATTACTGTTTTTTGAATATCAAGTTAAATTTGTAAGTAATTCCATTTATTACACGCAAAATTTTCTATTTTCTCTCATTTTCCTTTCTGTTTGTCCTTACTCCATGCGTTTTTCGTTTAAATTTTTGGAAATAATATTCGGAAAAGTTAACAATCTTTCTGCTATACTCAATTTCGTAATTATTGAAAGTTTTTATGACACAGTTCATTTGTATTTTAATGTTTTGTTTAATTAGAAGTTTTGCGGAGTGTTCAGATCATTTATTTACATTATTGTACAACATTGAGACAAATAGGTAACGATGTTTTCTATTTGTAAGCTATTTTTAATCACTTTTGCATCTACGATGGAAAATTTGTCTGAAATTTCATCTCTAAATGGTACCAAAAGCAATAGCAATGTCGCAAATTACTGACATTTTCCTAAGGGTCTTTATCATTATTACAAATATAAAACAAAATGTAATTTTACATCAAAACAATTATATTAATACAACAAAATTTTTGTTGTATTAATTCCGTTTATAATTCCGTTTTAAAAGTCATTACTTAATAATAAAAAAAGGAGTTATTTATTCTCTTGATATATATTTACAAAGATTATTTCTACATTTGCTTCAAAAATTCTAGAACAATAAATATCTTTTTAAAATTAAATTTTAATCAATAATCTTCAGATTATTTTAGTTTATTTGCAAATTTTTATGACATATATCATAGACTTTCTTCTAGCTTTAGTCTTTCAATGCTAAATGAGATTGAACAATGTTGTGAATTGATTTCCCAATTAAGACACAATTTTAGATATAGCAGAGATAAAAATGTAAACTAGAAAACATTTTTGTTATACCAAAAAATCATATAGAAAAAAATCTATTATAGTGTATCTATTATAGTAAAAAATTTGATATCTTTCTTCATGTACCATGTCCTTTCAGAACATTGGTTACCATCATAGCTATCTTGATTTTATTCACTGCCACCCTAAATAGCATGCTTGTATCAACACCATACCAATCTTGCAAGTTCTTCAACCATGAGGTTCTTCTTCGTCCTGGACTGCGTTTGTCTCTTGCATGATATTTGGTAGCAACCTATATTTGGGACCTCCCATTACATGTCCGAAATATTCCAGCTTTCTCTGTTTGATGCTTTTTATGATCTCAGTAATCTTGCTGAGACGTTCTATTATTGTGGAGTTTTGAATCTTCTCCACACAGTAAACTTTTGAAATTCTTCTATAGCACCACATTTCGAAAGCCTCAAGGCGATTTAGATCGATTTTATTCGCAGTCCAGGACTCAACACCATAAAGCATCCTTAAAATTAATTTAAGTGGGCAGATCCTTAATGCCAATTTTAGGTCTGTTACATAACACCTTGGACATCCTTCTGAACGCAGCTCTAGCCTGCTCTATCCTAGATCTAATTTCGCCGTGACTTTTTGCTTTACAATTTAATTGCTCTCGAAGGTAAACGATTTTATCAACTTGCTCAAATCAAATTTGATATATATTGATCGATTTTACCTAGCAAAATATTCGATAAAATTGTCATGATGCATGAATTGATCAAATAACAATCTCAAAAATATTTTCTTCGACCATCCATCAAAGCTGCTCAATCACATACTTAGAGAACTGACAAGATGGCTTATAAAATAAAAAAATACACATCTACACACATGACCACGGCTTATATAATGGCGTGCATTTAGTTACGTTGCTTTCACCGATGATGGTGATGTAACCACGCACTGCTTCATGTTGCATCGCGTATAGAGAAAGCAGAACGTGACTTTCTTTTTCACTCGTGTTTTTTTTCCGTTGATTAATAATTTTAGCTTTTTTATCGCTAAACAAACATCTGTCCCGTAAGCCTGTTAGGATGACAGTACAATATGAAACTTTTTCTTTCATCGATTTTTTATTCCGTTTTTTAATGATGATTAGAAAGTAAGATTTTACCTAAAAGAAAATATAAAATAACCAAAGATATTCGAAAAGAAGACGAATAAAACCATTATACACTGTATTTAGGATTCATACCATCATCAATTCAAAAGTGATGAGCATATAACTGCATGACAATCAGTAGTGCTGATTTATGGGTTTGAAAACTGGATAATAAACAAGAAAACAAATGCATTAAATGAGAAGAAGTTGTAGAGTCGCAAAACTGGACAAAATATATAATACAGAGGATAAGGAACTTAAGGGAGAGCGTACGATATGTTGGAAGAGCATTGGATTTGCAAAATGGGGTCCGCTAGGAAGCAGAAAGAGACAAAGACTTTTACGAACGTGTAGAAGTGAAGTAGACGAGGTATTGGAAAGAAGAACCATGCAAATTGGTAGAAAGCATACAATGAAAACTATAGAGATTAAATTTTCAGAGAATTTTTATATCATCTACTGTATTTATTGCTGTCAATCAAAACTCATATTAGTATGTCATAATTAACCAATAAATTATTATGCATTTGCACATAATAATATATTTTTTTCTTTTCAGAATTTGATGGTACGACGGTTTTGTGCAGGGTATGTGGAGATAAAGCATCAGGATTCCACTATGGAGTACATTCCTGTGAAGGATGCAAGGTAAGACATTAACAAATCGGTTATTATTCACGGGCAAATATAAAGTATATAAGTGATTTTTTAAATAGTTAAAAAAACAAGAGATTTCTCCTTGTTCTCTGCACCATCTTCTGCAAAATTCATGTTTTAATTAAAACTACAAATGAAATTAATCTAAATGTGACTGATTATTTGAAAAATCACTCTGTATACATTTTAAACGTATCTACGAACAAAAACGCCCTTTTGTGTACTACTAAGGACTCGATTTAGCAAAAAAAACCTTGGCGAAATTCCAACAAGGAAGTATTTTTTTGTGAGCACTTACATAAAACTCACCTTGGGAATTTTGGCCACCAAAATCACACAACCGGAAACCATATATTTCAAGGGTGACCCACAGCTTGAATTTCAGGGTGTTTTAGGTAAACAAAGAAGGCAGAGGTTGGGTGGGAGGGAAAAAAGTAAATCAAGCCAGGATGATCGGTCTTTGTTGCGTCTATTTGTCAGTGACGCGGATTAGAAAAGGAATTTTACTGATTTTTTTTTAAATAAAGAACTTATTGTTAAGTAACATATTTTTGAACTCAAATTTGTAGATATCTATAATTTTCTCTTAATTTTGATTAAGTTATGTGTTGTTTTATGACGAACACACACCTTTACCCATATCTTTCGTTCAATTATCCCATATTATCTTTATTTAAGATATATTACTATTATTGATTTTTCTGAAATCCACGATCGTCTAAATTTTCCTTTGCAAAAAATTAGATCATATCTGCTGTCCAGAGTAATAAAAACCCGAATCTCGCTGAGTATGAATTTATAGAATATGAATGAAGCTTTTTAAACCAAATTAAAGCGCAAGTACTATAAAATTCTCGTAGTAAAATATTTTTAATGATTCATATTGGAATTTTCTTGCATCTTTCGAATTAATCCACTTTGTTCCGCCTCTGCTTCTTCTTTTTCTCTACCTGGTATGGTATTCGTTGTGCAAATCGCAGGAAGGTTGAAGGTCGGTTATATTGTAATGTCAATGTCCGGCGTGTACAAGTTCTGCGGATAACATGCTGGTGGGGAGTCATATCGAGAGAGAAGACAGCCAACTAGATCGCAGGAACTGAATTAAGCAGCGAAGTAGACTCCGGGTGGGGAAATATTGAAAACAATTAAACTAATCCATATTTGTTTTCTATTATATATTTGTTGCGCTGTTTGGAAAGCAGAAGGAAGTATTGAGGTGATCAAACTGTCTAAAAATTCCTAATTTGAGTGTATTTATTGTTTGTTAATTCTGGTTCTTCGAGATAAATTTTTTTCTGTCTAAATATCTTTTTAGGGCACATTTGATCCATATATTAGGACCTATATATAGATTTCTATGTTTTATATAATTATTTATTAAATTCGGAACATTTTTCCAGTTGTTACACCCGGTATCGATCTCCCTCTTCTCGTAAAAAATTAATGGATCCATTAAAATTCAAGGTTCTTTTATACGAAGTTCAAGTACGTACAGCGAGGTCATTGCTTTTTGTAGGAAGCTTTTGCTATTTTTTATGGTTTGACCTTAGCGTTGGCAGTGCCAGATTGCCTTTTTCGTACAAATAGATTCACTAATTTGGCAAATAACAAATTCCCCGATTTGGAAATTTTGTGGGTTTGATAAATTTCCTAAATGTACAGAAAGAGTTGTCGTTATTCGTTTTTACAGAAAGGTGGGTAGATAAATGACTATGCTATTTAGTTTGTTAAAGATCTTTTGACATATTATGCTGCATAATTGTGCTATTATACGTGGGTGCATATGAGGCAAGTTACCATAGTGATGAAGAATACCAGAAGGATTCAAACCAGAATTGCTCAATAACATTTATAAAAAAAGGATGTCGATCAAAAATTGGAGTATCGAGTCATCTTCCAAGTACCTGAAGAGATTACAAGTTAAGTAGATTTACGAAGACATGGCTGGCGATCAATGTCCTCCAAATACGAATATGAAATGTTGCATTGCAAGCTTCAAAGCATCTACATTTTCCGTTGAAGATAAAGAAGAAGAAAAATTATAAAAACTGTCGAAAACATCTACAAAAACAACAAAATGGAAGTCAGAATAGATGGTCAGTTTACAGAACCTATAGAAATAGGCAGCGGGATAAGACAAGGGGATTCATTGAGCTCCATGCTCTTCACTTTGATCATGGATGAAATGACTTCACTTTGACCACGCAAAAGTTGGAGTGACAACCTTTCATAAAGGTATTAATCTGCCAATGAACAACCAGAATTGCTTAAAAAGAAGTAGAACAAAAAGATAAAGAACCATCGCGAAGATCAATTTCTTTGTGCTGCTTCATAAATATCGATAGTTTTTGACATGATTTTACTGTCGAATTAGAATATTTGAGACACTTTATATGTCATATAAGACAAAGAATGGTTAAGTGCTATGTTTGGACCGTACTTTTGTATAGTGCAGAAGTATGGACGCTAAAAGTATCGATCATGAATAAAATTGAAGCATTGAAAATGTAGGTTCATAGACGAATGCTGAAGATAACTTGGACAGCAAGGAAAACTAATGAAGAAGTACTAAGGAGATTCAACAAAGATAGAGAACCGCTAAAGACTGTTAAACATCGAAGAATGTCTTATCTGGGACATATATTAAGATGAAGTCGATATAAAGTATTACAACTGATCCTTAAAGGCAAATTAGGGGGCCGTAGAGGTGTAGGAAGAAAACAAGTTTCTTGGTTAAAAAACATTCGTAAATGGACTTGGATACCAAATGCAGAACAATTATTCCATATTACAGAAGATCGAGAAGGTGATCGCCAATGTCGGATGATTCTAATATGGCATGCGAAGAAGAAGAATGTCATATGAACGCATCTATTACACAATTCATCTCGACAATAATATCTGCAACATTACTATAGTGAAAAGATATCAAATGGCTGTTTTTGTGGAAATAACCTCAACAAACTTTAAAAAAACACAAAAAAATGACAACCACAAAAAAGGTGAAATATCTTGGAAACAACACATCTCTTCTTCCAAATCTTTTTCTGACTACATATCTATCTATCTATCTATACAGCCCTAAACATCCATCCTTGGATATAGGCCTCCTCCTCCTTCTTCCATACCTCTCTATCTTGGGCAATTTGCATCCATTTTGACTATATAAGGAAATGTAAAAAAATGCTTTCAATTTCTATCAAATAGTATTTTTTAATTCATCGATCATTTTTTCAACCATAAATCCAAACATTACCGAATCTTGCGAATCGGCGTGAGCTACTGTTTCTGCAAGGTTGTCAACTGGAATTAAAATGCGGTAGTTATTGGCCGAACCAGATACGTACAAAAAATAACATTGACTAGGGTCGAATGCAAATTTTTCAAGGTTCGTTCACAGGTTGTGGTTTAAAAATGTGCTTTTTAATGAGAATACAAGTTTACATTGATTCGCCTTTTGTTTTAAGTCATTCACAATCTCTTCTCACAACTTTTTCAAGTTGATGGTACGTATTGGAGAAATGTGATGCTTGGTTATTGATGCTGCTATGCAACTTTTAGCACGGTGAGTAGGGAAGACTGATACATTACATGGAAGTAGCATCAAATGATGCAAAAAGATAGTTAGAGACATGAGAAAATAATAAAGATATATAAGCGAGGTTGCTACAGCCTCTGCCGCCTCTCGCCTTTCGACCGCCATACCATAGTAGAGAGTTTAAAATGTTAACCGCTTTTTTTTGCCTGCTGCGTTCTGTTTTCGATGTCTCTTTTGGTAGTGCCTTCTTTAGATATTATAGATCCGAGATATTTATATTCATTGCGAGTTTTTGTGTTTCTAATTTCTAACTCTGGATCTTCTTCATCATCTCCTATTTTAAGATACTCTGTCTTTGACATATCCATATTGAGGCCCCATTTTTCATATTCTTTCTTTAGTTTTCTAAACATGTAGTCTATGTCTTCCCCATCATTCGCTACGACTACCTGATCATCTCAGGTAAAATAGTAAATACGGAACAAAATGGAAATTTCGAATAAACAATTAGATGAAAATAATCAAATTCATAAGTATATCATGTTTCATGAAAAGATCGAACGGGCACTAAACTCTAAAATTAATATAAAACTTTTTACAAGCAAACTAACAAATGTTAGCTAATTGTAAAGTTACGCAATAAAAAAATCTAAACCCATCAGTCATTCGCCTTCATCCTCTCAGCTACTTTTTGTTTCTCCTCTTAACTCGATCCAACAACTATCATTAACTCTTGCAGACCGTGCGTCGACCATTAATCATCCGAACTGCCAATTATTGCTCTGTTCAGCGTGGCCCAAAGCAACTAAAAGTAAAAGTGGTCCATTGGATGGATCCCAACTGCCGAAACCGAAAAAATCTCTGCTTTTGTCCACGCCGATGCGTATCGGCGAGATTGCATGGGTAAAAACTGTCATCCAACGTTGTCAGGTGGGTTGAAAAGTCGTATTCGTGGGTATTTTTGTGACGTCAATAATTATATTGGAAATATAAATGTATAGAGCTCAGAGTGACAAAATTGACATAAACAACACGAGTGTGTTTGTAATTAAATATTTTTTTCTTTTCACAATTTTACAAATAGTATCGTATTCATTTTAGAACTAATGTAAGCTACATAATAGAATCTTAATGGTTATCTGGAGCTAAATATTTTTGAAGAAGCTTTAAAATTATTCTATATTAACCTAAAAAGTGATTGTAAGCGTATACAACACTAACAATAAATAAATTAAAAATAAATAATGACTAAATAAGGTATTTGGGAATTAAAAATAAGTTGTTCTATAAGTTTATTTCAAGTATAATTTTTAATATAACAAATAACGTTATCAAGACCAAAATTCTAGTAATAGTGGGTCTTGGCTGACTGTACAATTTTTTTCCAATTTGTTCGGTCTTCCATCAACCTAGGGTCAAATGGAATGTTCATTTTCCGGAGATCTGCTTGGATGTTATCTCTCCATCGCATTCTGGGACGTCCGAGTGGTCTTTTGCCTGTGGGAATCTCCTCCCATACCAGTTTTACAAGTCTCTCGTTATGCAGTCTGTGCACGTGGCTTGCCCATCTTAGTCGTTGTGATTTAATTTCTTGAAAAAAAAAATAGAAAAATTTCTTACAAGAAATATTTCCTATTATTGATCTATATAAATCTCTATATCTATTGTTCGTACAGATAGAGTAAATATCTTTTTAATAATCATACTGTAGTATTTCCTATTCTATTCTATTACTATGTATTGTGTGAAAAATTACTTAAAATAAAAATTTCTGTCGCTTTTTCGCGTTCCCAGGATTTTCCGTCGATAGATGTGGCAACGCCGCTACCGCATACGTCAGCAGCCAGCTCGGTTTGATGAACCCGACGTGGCATTTCAAGGCCTTCATTGACTTACCTGATAATTCGACCCGCCTGCGTTCGCCACCTGCGTTTTACTTTCCATTCGCCCTTTTGACGAAAAAAAAAAGGGAAAAATAAATATCAAAAGGTCCAATCAAAAATATTTTGTTCGTGAGCCGTCTTCAGGTATTTTCTGTGCACAAAAAAAACTACAAAAGTCTCTCTGAAATCTACCACAAATTCTGAGATGAGTTTTTCAATTTTGGTTACAAAAACTTCTTTTTACAGGCGAAATGTCGAATTTACTATTATATCTCTTCTTCTTTATCAATATCTTTGAGAGTTTTGTGTACTTTCTAGACTGTTTTTTACGAATTTTCGCTGGATTTCCCTGAATGGGTTAGTTTTATTTCTCGTATTAAATATCCCAGATGCAGATCTGAATTCTGTGCAGAAATTGAAGAACTGTTGGTGTGTTTGCCGGAGATCGAATCTGGGCCCCTCTTCTTCATTCATTTTAATCGTTTTAATTTGGTAGTGGTTTCATATTTCTTTTCAAGGTTCTTGATATTTTCAGAATATTTTTTAATACTTCTTTTTTTTTCATTTTCTAATTCATGTAACATATTTAAGAAAATCTGCTTTTTTAGACAATATCTATAAATTTACCAAAAACATCTTACTCGAAAATATGAAACAACTGTAGACAGTCTTAAGAACCACTTATTAAAGACCTTTCTTACAATAATTCGTATGAAAATCACACAGTTTGGATTTCGTGATACTATGGATAAACTTCTTTTTCTTTCTATGCCGTCTTCATTAACAGAATATTTCGCACCCGTGACTTCCTCTTTCTACTTATCCCCTTTTTGCCATCGACCCTACTCTGCATGATGACCTGCAGAAGACTATATTTATCATTCCTCAGTACGTGTCCAAGGTATGCAGTCTTGCGTACTTTTATTGTTCTCAACAATTTTTTGTCTCGACCAATTCTTCTCAGCACTTCCTCATTGATGATCCTGGCAGTCCATGGGGCTCTCAACATTCTCCTGTATATCCAAAGTTCAAAGACTTCAAGCTTCTTAACTATTTGCGCTTTTAACGTCCATATTTCTACCCCGTACAATAGTTAGGACCAGACGTAACATTCAACAAACCTCAGTCTCGGCGCAGGATTCAGATTCGTACCCTGATCTCTTGATCTGGATCTAATTCTGTGTTGACGTAAGCTCCCAGATATTTATATTTTGTCACTTTATTTACTGTCCACCAAGGGTTAGTTATTTATTATTTATCGGGCTCCTTGATACTATCATAAATTTTGGCTTATCTGTATTGATGTCATGCCCCAGTTGAATGCATTCACTATTTATTGCATCTAGTTTGTAGTTCTTCTATACTCTCAGCCATAATTACCGTGTCATCTGAAAATAAGTATTCCTCTATCTCTAAGTATTCCTCCATTATAATCTCTTGTTATGAGTGTTCTTCTTTGCCTGGTGTTGACTGTAAGTTCTTTCATTTTTTTATGTAAGTTTGAAGTGTTATATTTGTTGCTGAGTTCTTCTAGTTCCTGGCATTCCCTTGTTCATCGATTCCTTTTTAGTCTTTCTGATTTCATATTTGATTTTATTCTTGACGGTTTTATATTGATTTCCATTTTATTTTTGTATTTTCTTTTTTCAGTATTAGCTCAACTATTTCCGGTGTCATCTAGTCTTTTTTAGTGGTTTTTTCTTCTTCGCCTAAGACCTCTTTTCCCGCTTATAATATGGCTTTTTCATATCTGCCCATTCCACGCTTCCTTCAGTTAATTTATTTATCTCTGCGTTTAGTTGCTGTTGGCAGTTGTCGTCTTTTAGGTTTTTGATGTTTATTTTGGTGGTTTTAACTTTGTTCTCCGGTTTTCTGAGTTTAATGTTGACGTTTGCTAGTAATAAATTATGGTCCGTGTCTGCATCTGCGCTTGGATAGGTTTTTGCACTTTGTACTCCATTACTAAACTTTTTATTAATCGTTATCGCTAATCAAGAAGCCCTATTTACCATTCAGTTACCTAATTTTCATAAAACTACCAAAAGGCATTCGACTGAATAAAGCATGAAAAACTTTTGTGATGAAATATATGAGAGAGAAGCTAAACGCTTATTTTTGAAGCACTTACAAATTGTTTGTTTCTGTTTGAGAATAGTTACACAAATATTCTTCTCTCTTTGCTCCTGAAACCTATCCTGTGTGACCCACCCTTCCAATCTATTACGAAGGGT